GGAGTTCTCTAGGAGTATGGGGCAGGGGAGGTAGGGGCAACGAGAAGGAAAGAAATATGTGGAGGGCAGGATAGAGTACGACACGCAAAGAGCAGGGGAAAGGTGTATGACGGGTTTCACAGATTTCTAAATATTCACCGCTGAAGCAGACTTCTAAAAAAAAAAACAAAAAAAAAAAACCCTATGGCGAGTGGCCACCCCTACAGACCGGACAGGACCGGTTCGGGTGTGGGCTATGGAAGCACCGCATCCAATTTTCGCAGTCACAGTTGCTGCATCGAATGGCACGGCGCAGACAGATGTCACAGGCTACGTGGCTCGTACATGCTAGGAACACAGGGGCACGTCGACCGCAATTATACAGGCATTGCCTTTCCTGCCCCTGTCTACAAATTGGACATGACATGTCGGGGAGCCGTACATGAGTACAGTACTGATTATCATCGTACGTATGGAAGCAAAAACTGGCATGGACTATACCTTCATAATCCTCACGGCACAAGGCATGTGAACCACATGCTAGTTGAATCTCCGGCGGGTCATCACAAAACAGCATGGAGCATCTTTCTTGGGCTTGTGTGTGTGTGTGTGTGTGTGTGTGTGTGTGCCTGCTGGTCTGCGTGCCTGTCTCAATGTGTGTGCGACCCACAAGGGTACTTGTTGGTTGGGAGGCCCCGCAGGGCCGGTACTTACCCGTGGCCGTGACTTCGAGGGTTGCAGCGGGGAAAAACACTCGAGTAGCAGGGGTAGGCCTGTGACACTTAGAGCAGCGGGAAAAACACTCAAGTAGCAGGTAGGCTGGTACCACTCCAAGTAGTGGTAGAAGTGTCGGGTACTCGCGGCCGAGCAGAAGAAGACAAAAAGTTGGCATTTTTGGAGGCCCAGTAGCGGTAGGCTAGAGGTAGGCCGGTACCAGTCCAAGTAGCCTGAGTCTAGAGCCTGTACAGACGATATCAGAGCCTGCAATGATGTTTCCCTCCGAAAGGGAGGAGGTACCGGTTGCTGGGAGGCCGTGCGGCCTAGGAAGTCACCGCCCAAGAGGCAAGTAGGCCGCTATATCTTCGGGAGGAGCAAGTAGCTCCTCCTCATTTGCAGTGTGCAAGGATTGGCGACATACTGCTGGAGCCAAGCGCTGGACTTGGAGCGCTGCCTGGAGGAGAAGAGCAGCTGGGCGCTCAGCCTGGCTATCACTCCAGTGAAAAAGAAGAAGGGGGAGCATCCAAGGTAAATATTCAGTCAGTGTATACGACACCCCTCGGTCCAGATCAGCTCCAAGATTTCCCAATTCCACCCTGACGGCACAGATCATGGTACCACCCCGATAGGTCTGGTGCGCAGGTCCACCACTATAAGCACTGGACATGACAGACAGACCCAGACAAACAGACAAACAGAAAGGGACAGAAGAATGGATGGGCAGAAGAACGGATGGGCCGGCAGACAGACAGAGCCCGGATTTGTGTGTCAAGATTTGTCTGGTGTGCAGGTTCCCAATAGCCATGCTTTGAACACTGGCTATGGTAGAGACAGACACACAGACAGACACACAGACAGACTGACCGACAGACAGACAGGCAGGCAGACAGACAAACAGATAGACAGGCAGACAGACAGATACACAGAGAGACACACAGACAGAGCCTGGGTTATGCTCCCCGTACAGAGCAGTGTAGAAATCAAGTAAGCCCATAGCGTAGCCTTAACTGGTAGATTTAGGGCGAAGTATAGTTGGCCTGTGGTAGGTAGTGTGAGATAAACAAAAAAATATTGAGAGAAGTAAATAGCGTAGAAAGTGCAGCTGAACTTCCATGTGAGGAGAAGGCAGCTTGCATATTAAAAAAAAAAAAGGAGAGAGACTTCAACGTGGTTGTACTACTTCTCCTTTAGCACTCTTCCCCCACCCCCCACATACATGCAAAGCTCAAAGAAAAATCCCTTGAATAAAAGACAAATGAGGGTTACACTGCTGCTCCTTC